CAGTGACAGGGTTCGCATGGCGGCCCCGCCCCAGTTCGGCACACCCCTCACACGTTTCGTGGCATCATGGGAAACTCTACCGAAGGCCCCAGTGGCAGGGCTCGCATGGCGGCCCCGCTCCAGTTCGGCACACCTCTCATAGTTTCGTGGCCCCATAGGGAGCTCCACCGAAGGCCCAAGTGGCAAGGCTCGCATGGCGGCCCCATCCCATGCCAGCACGCCCCTCACACGCTTCGTGGCCCCATGGAGGGCTCCACCGAAGGCCCCAGTGGCAGGGCTCGCATGGCGGCCCCGTCCCATTTCGGCACGCCCCTCACACGTTTCGTGGCCCCCATCGGGAGCTCCACCGAAGGCCCCAGTGGCAGGGCTCGCATGGCGGCCCCGTCCCATTTCGGCACACCCCTCACACGCTTCGTGGCCCCCATCGGGAGCTCCCTCCACCGAAGGCCCCAGCGGCAGGGCTCGCATGGCGGCCCCGCCCCATGTCAGCACACCCCTCACACGTTCCGTGGCCTCATACGGAGCTCCACCGAAGGCCTCAGTGGCAAGGTTCGCATGGCGGCTCCGCCTCCATTGCGGCCCACCCCTCACACGCTTCGTGGCCCCATGGGGGGCTCAACCGAAGGCCCCAGCGGCAGGGTTCGCATGGCGGCCCCGTCTCATTTCGGCACCCCCCCCGCACGTTTCGTGGCCCCATCGGGAGCTCCACCGAAGGCCCCAGTGGCAGGGTTCGCCTGGCGGCCCCGCCCCAGTTCGGCACGCCCCTCACACGTTTCGTGGCATCATAGGAAACTCTACCGAAGGCCCCAGTGGCAGGGCTCGCATGGCGGCCCCGTCCCAGTTCGGCACGCCCCTCACACGCTTCGTGGCCCCATCGGGAGCTCCACCGAAGGCCCCAGTGGCAGGGCTCGCATGACGGCCCCGTCCCATGCCAGCACGCCCCTCACATGCTTCGTGGCCCCATAGGGAGCTCCACCGAAGGCCCCAGTGGCAGGGCTCGCATGGCGGCCCCGCCCCATGTCAGCACACCCCTCACACGTTTCGTGGCCCCCATCGGGAGCTCCACCGAAGGCCCCAGTGGCAGGGCTCGCATGGCGGCCCCGTCTCATTTCGGCACGCCCCTCACACGTTTCGTGGCCCCCGTCTGGAGCTCCCTCCACCGAAGGCCCCAGTGGCAGGGCTCGCATGGCGGCCCCGCCCCATGTCAGCACACCCCTCACACGTTCCGTGGCCTCATACGGAGCTCCACCGAAGGCCTCAGTGGCAAGGTTCGCATGGTGGCCCCGCCTTCATTGCGGCCCACCCCTCACACGCTTCGTGGCCCCATGGAGGGCTCCACCGAAGGCCCCAGCGGCAGGGTTCGCATGGCGGCCCCGTCCCATTTCGGCACACACCCCGCACGTTTCGTGGCCCCATCGGGAGCTCCACCGAAGGCCCCAGTGGCAGGGTTCGCATGGTGGCCCCGCCCCAGTTCGGCACACCCCTCACACGTTTCGTGGCATCATAGAAAACTCCACCGAAGGCCCCAGTGGCAGGGCTCGCATGGCGGCCCCGCCCCAGTTCGGCACACCCCTCACACGTTTCGTGGCATCATAGGAAACTCTACCGAAGGCCACAGCGGCAGGGCTCGCATGGCGGCCCCGCTCCAGTCCGGCACACCTCTCGTAGTTTCGTGGCCCCATAGGGAGCTCCACCGAAGGCCCAAGTGGCAAGGCTCGCATGGCGGCCCCGTCCCATGCCAGCACGCCCCTCACACGCTTCGTGGCCCCATAGGGAGCTCCACCCAAGGCCCCAGTGCCAGGGCTCGCATGGCGGCCCCGTCCCATCTCGGCACGCCCCTCACACGTTTTGTGGCCCCCATCGGGAGCTCCACCGAAGGCCCCAGTGGCAGGGCTCGCATGGCGGCACCGCCCCATGTCAGCACACCCCTCACACGCTTCGTGGCCCCCATCGGGAGCTCCCTCCACCGAAGGCCCCAGCGGCAGGGCTCGCATGGCGGCCCCGCCCCATGTCAGCACACCCCTTACACGCTCCGTGGCCTCATACGGAGCTCCACCGAAGGCCTCAGTGGCAAGGTTCGCATGGCGGCTCCGCCTCCATTGCGGCCCACCCCTCACACGCTTCGTGGCCCCATGGGGGGCTCCACCGAAGGCCCCAGCAACAGCGCTCGCATGGCGGCCCCGTCCCATTTCGGCACCCCCCCCGCACGCTTCGTGGCCCCATCGGGAGCTCCACCGAAGGCCCCAGTGGCAGGGTTCGCATGGCGGCCCCGCCCCAGTTCGGCACACCCCTCACACATTTCGTGGCATCATAGGAAACTCTACCGAAGGCCCCAGTGGCAGGGCTCGCATGGCGGCCCCGCTCCAGTTCGGCACACCTCTCATAGCTTCGTGGCCCCATAGGGAGCTCCACCGAAGGCCCAAGTGGCAAGGCTCGCATGGCGGCCCCGTCCCATGCTAGCACGCCCCTCACACGCTTCGTGGCCCCATAGGGAGCTCCACCGAAGGCCCCAGTGGCAGGACTCGCATGGCGGCCCCGTCTCATTTCGGCACGCCCCTCACACGTTTCGTGGCCCCCATCGGGAGCTCCACCGAAGGCCCCAGTGGCAGGGCTCGCATGGCGGCCCCGCCCCATGTCAGCACACCCCTCACACGCTTCGTGACCCCCATCGGGAGCTCGCTCCACCGAAGGCCCCAGCGGCAAGGCTCGCATGGCGGCCCCGCCCCATGTCAGCACACCCCTCACACGTTCCGTGGCCTCACACGGAGCTCCACCGAAGGCCTCAGTGGCAAGGTTCGCATGGTGGCCCCGCCTCCATTGCGGCCCACCCCTCACACGCTTCGTGGCCCCATGGGGGGCTCCGCCGAAGGCCCCAGCGGCGGGGTTCGCATGGCGGCTCCGTCCCATTTCGGCACACACCCCGCACGTTTCGTGGCCCCATCGGGAGCTCCACCGAAGGCCCCAGTGGCAGGGTTCGCATGGCGGCCCCGCCCCAGTTCGGCACACCCCTCACACGTTTCGTGGCATCATTGGAAACTCTACCGAAGGCCCCAGTGGCAGGGCTCGCATGGCGGCCCCGTCCCATTTCGGCACGTCCCTCACACGTTTCGTGGCCCCATAGGGAGGTCCACCGAAGGCCCAAGTGGCAAGGCTCGCATGGCGGCCCCGTCCCATGCCAGCACGCCCCTCACACGCGTCGTGGCCCCATAGGGAGCTCCACCGAAGGCCCCAGTGGCAGGGCTCGCATGGCGGCCCCGTCCCATTTCGGCACGCCCCTCACACGCTTCGTGGCCCCATCTGGAGCTCCACCGAAGGCCCCAGCGGCAGGGCTCGCATGGCGGCCCCGCCCCATGTCAGCACACCCCTCACACACACGCTTCGTGGCCCCCATCGGGAGCTCCACCGAAGGCCCCAGCGGCAAGGCTCGCATGGCGGCCCCGCCCCATGTCAGCACACCCCTCACACGTTCCGTGGCCTCATACGGAGCTCCACCGAAGGCCTCAGTGGCAAGGTTCGCATGGCGGCCCCGCCTCCATTGCGGCCCACCCCTCACACGCTTCGTGGCCCCATGGGGGGCTCCACCGAAGGCCTCAGCGGCAGGGTTCGCATGGTGGCCCCGTCCCATTTCGGCACACCTCCCGCACGTTTCGTGGCCCCATCAGGAACTCCAACGAAGGCCACAGTGGCAGGGTTCGCATGGCGGCCCCGCCCCAGTTCGGCACACCCCTCACACGTTTCGTGGCATCATAGGAAACTCGACCGAAGGCCCCAGTGGCAGGGCTTGCATGGCGGCCCCGCTCCAGTTCGGCACACCCCTCATAGCTTCGTGGCCCCATGGGGGGCTCCACCGAAGGCCCAAGTGGCAGGGCTCGCATGGCGGCCCCGTCCCATTTCGGCACGCCCCTCACACGCTTCGTTGCCCCCATAGGGAGCTCCACCGAAGGCCCCAGTGGCAGGGCTCGCATGGCGGCCCCGTCCCATTTCGGCACACACCCCGCACGTTTCGTGGCCCTGATCGGGAGCTCCACCGAAGGCCCCAGTGGCAGGGCATGGCGGCCCCACCCCAGTTCGGCACACCTCTCTTACGTTTCGTGGCATCATAGGAAACTCTACCGAAAGCCCCAGTGGCAGGGCTCGCATGGCGGCCCCGCCTCCATTGCGGCCCACCCCTCACACACGCTTCGTGGCCACATGGGGGGCTCCACCGAAGGCCCCAGCGGCAGGGTTCGCATGGCGGCCCCGTCCCATTTCGGCACACACACACACACACACACCGCACGCTTCGTGGCCCCATCGGGGGCTCCACCGAAGGCCCCAGTGGCAGGGTTCGCATGGCGGCCCCGCCCCAGTTCGGCACACCCCTCACACGTGTCGTGGCATCATAGGAAACTCTACCGAAGGCCCCAGTTGCAGGGCTCGCATGGCGGCCCCGCTCCAGTCCGGCACACCTCTCATAGTTTCGTGGCCCCATAGGGAGCTCCACCGAAGGCCCAAGTGGCAAGGCTCGCATGGCGGCCCCGTCCCATGCCAGCACGCCCCTCACACGCTTCGTGGCCCCATAGGGAGCTCCACCCAAGGCCCCAGTGCCAGGGCTCGCATGGCGGCCCCGTCCCATTTCGGCACGCCCCTCACACGGTTCGTGGCCCCCATCGGGAGCTCCACCGAAGGCCCCAGTGGCAGGGCTCGCATGGCGGCCCCGCCCCATGTCAGCACACCCCTCACACGCTTCATGGCCCCCATCGGGAGCTCCCTCCACCGAAGGCCCCAGCGGCAGGCATGGCGGCCCCGCCTCCGTCTCGGCACACCCCTCACACGCTTCGTGGCCCCATGGGGGGCTCCACCAAAGACTCCAATGGAAGGGGTTGTATGCCGTCCTGTCTATTTTGACACACGCCTCACATATTTCGTGGCCCATAAGGAGCTCCGCCGAAGGCCCCAGTGGCAATGCCCGCGTGCGTCCCCCAACCCACTTCGGCACGCCCCGCACACTCTTCGGGTTTCCCATCCGCGTTGCCCCGTGCTCCATCCCTCCCGCGGCGCGCTGCCCATGATGAGAAGGTCATATCCTTCGATGTTCGCAGCTGCATATGGTTGGGCCCTTCGCTGGGCTACTTGTTTTTGGGCGTGCGGCCTCTGGACAACCTCAACATTACCCTCCAGCCTGCGGGCCGCAGCCCCTGACCCAGGCCACGGTAGAGACGCAAGCCCCTGCTGGCCATCCCAGCCCTCACCCCCCGCGAGCAGGGAGGGCCGAAATCGACGAGCGGAGGGGGTCCAGAGCTGGTCAAGGTATGTTCGTCAAGCTCGGACAAAATAATCAACCACACACAAACTGCGGCCCTGTCCCGTGTCGGCCTGGAGGCGGAGGGGGAAAGGAAGGGTACAAGCCTTGTGGAGGCCTCCCAAATAAGCGACGAAGAGAAACAGGACTCATGCGAGATGGCGTAGCGACCTTACGCGGTGCCTTACACGGGCCGCAAAAATACCACACCGCGTGGGAACGAGGGCTCTTACTTGCGACTTTAAGCGGGAATTTACGCGCGAATGTCATCGCAGACGACCCCATTTCTGTCAATCTCTCAAATGGTGTCCGAGTGGACGGGGACGGGGGGACGCGCCGCATCGGCGATGCACCAGCGATGCATCGGCGACGTCGGCGATACATCGGCGCCATCGTCATGGAGAACATTGGGCTCCACATCAAGCCGCATCACCGATGCATCACCGATGCGGCGCGATCCGCTGACCCCATACCGAGGGCTGCGCATCCACCCTAAGTAGCCTCGAACCTATCCCCATCCCCAAGATCGACCAGCCTAAGGCGATGACAATCTTGGGGATCTGCCTTCAGAGACTGGGGGAACCTTTTGGATCGGCATCGAGATGAAGTGATGTCAATCACAAAAATTGGGATGTGAGTGCCAAAAAAGAAACGGCACTTCCGCGCGATGACATTTCGAACTCACGCCGCGGCTCACAAGGGCTGCTAGCGCGGCACACCACATCGGAGACGAGGACGCTTACACGCGAACTTACGCGGGCAGATTACGCGCGAATGTCCTTTTAAGACGAATGAAGGACGAATATAGAATGGGGCGAGGATAAATCGAGAATATCTGAGATCCGGCGGCTCTGGAGGATATCTCGGGCGCCGCAGCCTTATCGGAGCGTTATAGAACGCTCTGAGAGCGTTCCGGAATGCTCTGGATCGGATGCATCCTCTAACCCAGCCCCGTCAATTCTTCCGTCGCGCATATATGTTTCAGGCTGGTACAGTCAACCCGTACCACAAGGATCCGCGGCAAGGATGCGAGGGCCTTGGAGGCCCCTGTGAACGTTCTTCGAACGAGGCTGGCCAGCGAAAGTCGCTGAGGATGGGCCGAACGGGCCAGAATGCAAGGGTACCCTTGGGATGGTCGCCCATTCTTACTCAAGGGCTCCCAACTTCGCGCTTCGCGCTGCGCGAAGCGCAAAGTGCGAAGTGCGAATAACTTCGCGCTCTCGCGCCGCCTCCCAGGGAGGATGAGGAGGAATCGGAGCCGAACCGCGAAGCGCGAAGCGAGAATAACTTCGCGCCCTCGAGGGCGCCCTTGCTTACTATGCGGGTTGACTGTAAGCCGCGTCTCCCGCGGCGTGGACTCCTCGCCATCTACGCTCTCGATGCCCGCGGGGCCGCGCCCGGGCCTGGGCCGGGCCCCTCCGTAGGGGGGCGAAGAGCCGACCACGCCGCCTGGGGCTGCCAGCAAACGCCGCAGGCCTAGGGCGGCCGCGCACTCGCGGATCCCGGGAGACACGACGACGACGACCGACGACGACGACCGACGACCGACGACCGACGACCGACGACGACGACCGACGACGACGACCACGACGACGACGACGACGACCACGACGACGAAGACCACGACGACGACTACAGAGGCCCCCCGACCTTCTCGACGACACAGACGCTCTGCCCGCTCTCGGGACTCAGCACGCGGGCCCTCCTGCTGCGGAAGTCGCCCTTGAAGACGAGCAGCAGCTGGCCGCCCTCCCCGCGAAGGGCGTACCGGCTGGAGCGCGCGGAGTCCTCTCGCGGCCGCAGGAATGAGGGAGGGAAGGAGGGAGAGAGTTGTACCCATTGCCGCGGGGTCGTGCCCCAGAAACTCGGGGAGCGGTGAACATGAATAGAGCTGGAGGAGAAGTTGGGCCGACCAGTGCCGGGAATGGTTGATGGAAGAGGTACGAAAGAGGGAAGGGGAGGAGGACCAGTGCAAACCTAAGACTTATATCAGCGATTTTGTCATCCCTCCCTCCAAATTCCGAAAACCAACCGTTTGAAAATCTGAACCGTGCCAGAACACCATTCCTGGGAATTCAACGTCGCGAATCAACGTTACGATTGCGTATTGACGATCGTGATTCATGCCAGAGCACTGTTCATGGGACTTTAACGCCGCGAATCAACATAACTGCTGCGCCCTGACAGTCCTACCTCGTGCCAAAACACAACTTCTGGGACGTCAACCATACACAGTCTTGATACTTATGTAAACTATGAAGACGAATGTGCTCGGCTCTAAAGCGAGAACACACATTTTGAAAAAGTACCGCCCTCCATCAATGAAACTCTTGCAAAAATATGCGCGCGGCGCTAAGGCGAGAACCTCATGTTGAAAACCGCCCACCCTCCATCCGTGAAGCTGCTGCAAGCCCTTAGGACGAATGTGCGCGGCGCGAAAGCGAAAACCGCATATTGAAAAACTGCCCGCCCTTCATCCGTGAACTCTTGCGATGCTCTACAGACGAATGTGCGCGGCGCGAAAGCAAGCGCCACAGTTTGAAAACGACCCGCCCTCCATGCGTGAAACTGTTGCAAATTCTCAGCTTAAGGATCATAAATGGTGGGGGAGTCTCAGACGAAACGCCCGTCCCCCTCTACCGAGACGCCTCGGGGTGCGACAGTGACAGGGAATAGCGATTCATAAGAAAAATCAAAAAGGAGGCGGAGGAGGGGCGAAGAGGAGGCAAAGTCCTCTCGCGACAGCGTGCCGAACACGGATCCGTCTGGCCGGCAAATCTGCGGCATGCCTCCCAGACGCCCGTGGACCGCGTCCGTGCGCACCACGCCCATCGGCCTGCCGTCCGTCTGCTCCACACGCATGCAGCAGTCAACGCCGGGCTGCTGCTCGTCGACAAAGACCCGGCTAATCGGCTCGCCCTGGAGGCTGAGGACGTCGAACGACGTCCTCTGGCGCTGCGCCGTAACGACCTCAGGCATAACAAACACGACTTCCCACCCCTCGGGCACGACCAGCTCCTCGCACAGAACCCTCGGGTCTGGCGGGGGGGCCGCCGCTCCCGCGGCGGCTGCCGCCGCCGGCGCACTGCCGCGCCCACCGCCCGCGCCGGCGGAGCTCCCCGAGCCCGCGCCCGCGACGCTGTCCTGCAGGGAGTGCTGCGAGCTGCCCGCAGCCGAGCTCGGCGAGCCGTCTTCCAGCCCGCGGGCACCCTCAGCCGCCCGCGGCCTGGGGGCGGGCCAGGCGCCGTCGAGCTCCGCGCGCTCGGAGCCCCGCCGCTCGGGCGAGCGGGCCCGCCGCGGCCGCGGCCGCCGCTGGCTCACCGCGGCCGCGGGCGGGCTCCGCGGCGGGCTCGGTGCGGCGCGCTGCTGCGCGGCGCAGGGCGCCGACGGGCTCCCGGGGGCGCGCCGCGCCACGAGCGCAAGCGCGAGGCAGGCGCCCCCCGCGGCGGCCGCCAGCCCCGCGGCGGCCGCGCGCCCCAGGAGGGGCGCGGGCGCGGGTTCGGCGCGGGCGGCGGGCTCGTCCGCCTCCTCCAACACCTCCTGTTGGCGGCGCGCACAAGGGGGTACGTGGGGGGAGGAGGGAAGGCTTCTTAGAAGGAGGCTGCATCTAAGAAGCCCTCCCCCCTCCCCCTGCCCCCCTCTGCGCGTGGCCGAAACACCTCCTCCTCGCCCTCAGATCGGGGAGACGTAGGACTCGGGTTTCGGGGAACTGGGGTTGGCCTGACAGGGCCGTCAGGTAAGTAAAGAGACCCAGGCTGAAATTGAACGCGAGATCCCGCTGCAGACATCGCACGAAAGCTCGATTGTCAAAATTCAGGACGGGCCCGTCAAGAAGCGTCGGCAAACCTGGGTTCCAGCGAACTCGACTCTCATGCTTTCCCGATCAGACGAAGAGAAAGGTGCATGAACAAATAAGCTCTCGAGGGTCCGCGCGGATTCCTTGGATCGGAGCATGATGCCCGTCACACACGCCCCAGCGGCGCCTGCGGCGAACTCCGCGCGGCGCTTCGAGTTGATGGTTTCTGATTGTTTTTGTTATTGCTCGATCCATCTCGCCCTGCCGCAGAGGCTCAGCACAGGGCGCCCCCCCTTGCCTGCATCCGCCCCTGCCTCGGGCCTGAGCCATTTCGGATCGGAAACAGATCGGGTCGCCAGCGAATCGCCCCGAATCGAATCGACGTCGGATCGCCGCGCACAGCTCCGGCCGACGCTGGCCGATGCCGGTGATCAGAGCCGAACCACCGAAACGCATCGGGATCGCGGCCCCAGCTGGCGAATCGAATCGCATGGACTCGGATCGTAGGCGGCTCTGCCTGGCTCTGGACCCCGAGACCCACGCTTCGAAGAAAAAGCGGCATAAGCAGAAACTCTGAGATGTCCGCAAAGATTTCTTGTATCCCGCGCCAGAGGCACCGTCAGTGGGGGGGGGCCTGGCGCCGATCCAGGACATCCGCGCGGAGCTCCAGAGAAGTATGCCAAGGCGGAGCTGTTTTCCTCGAGAGATCCCACCTGGCTCTGCGGGGCGGGCGCTGCGGCGCGCTCCCGCGGGAGCGCCCGCTCCAGCAGCAGCGCCGGAGCAGGCGCACGGCGGGGGCCCGCCGCCGCGCGCTCCTGCGAGGGGGCGCGCGCGGAGCCGCGGCTGGTGGTGGGAGGGCGAGAGTGTTGAGGCCTCACCGCCTCACTGCAGCGTGACAGTGTAACAGTTGCCACCGAGAGCCCATACAAGTACAGACAGAGGTTGACAAGGGTACGTACCATCCTTACTCCTCCCGATCATGCCTCCTCCTCCTCCTCCTCCTCCTCCTCCTCCTCCTCCTCCTCCTCCTCCTCCTATGGTTCCTCCTGCCTCCATCCCTTTTCCTCCTTGGTAACGCCTCCCTGTCGCGCCCCGAGACGTGTCGGTAGGACGGGCTGGGCGTTTAGCCTAGGATTTCTCCCCACTTATGATACTTACGCTTGGAAGCCGCAAAATGTCAAGAAAGGAGGGCGGGCGGTTTTCAAAATGTGGCTCTCGCCTTAGCGCCGAGCGCACTCGCCCTAAACGTTTGCAAGAGTTTCACGAATGGAAGGCAGTACCTTTTCAAGATGTGACTGTCGCCTTAGCGCTGCGCACATTCGTCTTAAGAGTTTACAAGGAGGCTCAACGGTGTTGTGGCACGATGTAAGACAGTCAGAGCGCAACTGTTATGTTTTGTTTAAGGCGTTGAAGTCCCAGTAAATGTGTTCTGGCACGAATCAGGATCGTCAGGACGCAATAGTAACGTTGATTCGCAGCGCTGGAATCCCAGGAACGGTGCTTCGGCAAGGTCAGGATTTTGAGACGTATGTCCTCCAACGGGGCACGCCCCGCAGTGACAATAACATCGTTGTATGGGGCCTATGGAGAGAGGACTTGGAGTGAGGGGTTATCACAACATAGTTGGTGGGTGTTGGGCTTACACTAGTCCTACCTCGTCCTCCTCCTCCTCCTTCTCCTCCTCCTTCTCTTCCTCCTAAATGTTCTGCATCCTCATCCTGCCTCCTCCTGCTCCTCCTCCTGATCCTCCTCCTCCTGATCCTCTTCCTCCTGCCGTCCTCGCTCCTCCTCCTCCTCCTCCTCCTCCTCCTCGCTCCTCGTCCGTCTCTCTGGTGAGGACCCGGCTTGCGCGCGGAAAACCACAGCCACCCTCCCCCTGTAGTCCCAGCTGGCCTGGCCTCAGGGCCTCCGAGTAGCCCCGGGAGGTCTGGCAAGGCCTCGGGTTGCGCAGAGACCCTGAGATCCGGGCGTTGCTAATCACAGATCATCGGGCTCAAAAATGCTGTGCAGAAAGATGGGGTCTAGGGCTCTGGTTGTTTTTGTTGTTCGCGATCTTGTAGCTGTTTCGCAACGTCGGATCTGAGGGGACAGCACCCCCTGATAGTCCAAGCTGGTCTCAGCAGACCCCTTGGGGCGCCAGGCGCCTCGGGGGTGCCGCGGGAGGCGGCGCCAGGGTTAAGACCGCACAGGACTATTCTCGGGGGCGTCTAAAAGTGGGGCGTCCAAGAGGGGGGGGACACGAATCATGGCCGACGGCATGTGCGCGGCCCAAGGGGGGCCAGGGACGTATTCAAATTCGCCGGCCCATCGGGCCAAAGGCGTGCTAAGGTCTCTCACTTGGGAGGCCTCTTGGTGGCCTCTTCGGGGGTCTTGTACGCGTCGTGGGCCGTCTGGAAGCTATCTCGGGCCATCTGGAGACCATCTTGAGCGTCTTGGAGCGATCTTTCGGCGATTCGGGGCCTCTTGGGCCGTGTAGGGGGCGTCCCGGCGCTCTCTTGGCGCGCTCCTGGAGCGCACTGGGGGAGTCAGCTGGACATCGCCTGGGCATCGGCTGGTCATCGCCCGGGCATCGCCCGGGCATATGCCCGGGCATCGGCCGAGGTACTTTTCATCCAGGGGTCCCCAGGGGCCGCCACGCGCGCGCGAATTAGAAAAACTGTTAAGGCCCTAATGGTCAATGTACGATGGTTGTTTGAAAGGTGTTGCTCTTCTCGCCTGTTCTTTCGGCTCTCCAACGCTCCAAGACGGCCCAACAAGCCTCCAAGAGGGTCCCAAGACGGCCCAACAAGCCTCCAAGAGGGTCCCACGACGGCCCAAGATGGCCCCAAGACATCTGAAGGGGCGCCCAAGATGGCCCAAGAGGGCCCCACAACAGCCATAAGAGGCCCAAGACGGGGACCAGAAACCGAACAGTCCAGCCTGCAGCCCAAAGAGGCCCCCAGGAGGCTCCAAAAGGCCCCCAAGGGGCACCCCAAGACCCAAGAAGCCCCAAAGAGGCCCTCAAGAGGCCCCAAAACGGCCCCCAAGAGGCCTCAAAACTGCCTCGCAGAGGCCCCCAAGAGACCCCAACACGGCCCCCAAGCGGCGAGGTAATATCGGCCGGCGGAATGAGCGAAGCGATCCGCCGCCCCACCGGATACGGCGTGTGAGATCCACAGCATGGTTTTCCATAGTGCTTTGCGCAAGTCTTCTCTCCAGCGCGCTTTTCATACCTACCCCTGCCTCTGAGCCCTCGCAACCACTCCTAGGGTCCTCCCCGCGCCTCGCTCATTCATTCCGCCGGCCCCGGGGCCCTGGCTGCTGCTGGGGCGCCTTCTGGCAGCCATTTCCGTCCCATGTTGACCTCCCTTTCACGTGCTAGCCTTCCAGGCGCCGCCAGGCGCTCTCAAAGACCTCTCCATGAGCCCACTGGGCCGGCTTTTCGGGCCTCCTGAGGCTCTCCTGGGTTCATGTTTACCCTCCTTCAAGCCACTTTGAGATGTTCCAGATCCCGTTCCACCTCTTCTCGAGCCACATGCACCAGAACACCCCAACAAGCAAAAAACATAGTAAAACACATGGGATTGTGATGATTATGGCCGGTTCGCACTTCTCCTTGCGCCTCTCTCGGAACTCTCGTGCATCTCCGCTGGCTCTTGTGGCCATCGTAGAACCCGGGCACGCTCTCTCTACGACCGGCCTGACAGCCTCTCGGACCAATCTTGGGCCGTCTGGCCGCCTTCTTGGCACTGTATTCCGCCCATGTGGGGCGCCCCCTCAGAGCCTCAAAGGCTCTTCCAGGAACCGCAAACAAACACGGACTGTTTTTCCCAACCATACTGTGGTGTTGGGTCCTCGTTTTGAAGAGACGGTGCCCCGCGTCTCCTTCCTTCCTCCTTCCTCCTCCTCCGCCTCCTCTCCCCTCCTATCATCCTCATCATCATCATCATCATCACCATCATCATCATCATCATCATCATCATCATCATCATATGTGTCATCATATCATCATCATCATCATCATCACCACCACACACCATCATATCATCATTCATATGTCATCATCATCATCATCGTCAATGTCATCGTCGTCATTGTCATCGTCATCACCCACTTCGGCACACCCTCACACATTTCGTGGCCCCATTAGGGAGCCCACGAAGGCCCCAGTGCTGCCGCGCAGCGTCCGCAACGCCCAATTCGGCACACCTACACGCTTTCGTGGGCCCCATTGGAGGAGCCCCACCGAAGGCCCAGTTTGCTGCGCCGCACGCGCCCGCACACCCAAACTCACATTCGCAAACCCTCACACGCTTCGTGGCCCATCGGGAGCCCCACGAAGGCCCCATGCTGCCCCCCGCTATTTTGCGTCCCGCACACCCAATCCGGCACACCCCTCACACGTTTCGTGGCCCCACTGGGAGCCCCACCGAAGGCCCCAGTGCTGCCGCCCGCATGCGCCCCGCACGCCCAATTCGGCACACCCCTCACACGTTTCGTGGCCCCATAGGGAGCTCCGCCGAAGGCCCCAGTGCTGCCGCCCACATGCGTCACGCACACCCAATTCGGCACACCCCTCACACGTTTCGTGGCCCCATAGGGAGCTCCGCCGAAGGCCCAGTGCTGCCGCCCGCATGCTCCCGCACACCCAATCCGGCACACCCCTCACACGTTTCGTGGCCCCACTGGGAGCCCCACCGAAGGCCCCAGTGCTGCCGCCCGCATGCGCCCCGCACGCCCAATTCGGCACACCCCTCACACGTTTCGTGGCCCCATAGGGAGCTCCGCCGAAGGCCCCAGTGCTGCCGCCCACATGCGTCACGCACACCCAATCGGCACACCCCTCACACGTTTCGTGGCCCCATAGGGAGCTCCACCGAAGGCCCCATGGCTGCCGTCCGCATGCGTCCCGCACACCCATTTCGGCACACCCCTCACACGTTTCGTGGCCCCATAGGGGAGCTCCACCGAAGGCCCCAGTGCTGCCGTCCGCATGCGTCCCGCACACCCATTTCGGCACACCCCTCACACGTTTCGTGGCCCCACAGGGAGCTCCACCGAAGGCCCCAGTGTTGCCGTCCGCATGCGTCCCGCACACCCATTTCGGCACACCCCTCACACGTTTCGTGGCCCCACAGGGAGCTCCACCAAAGGCCCCAGTGCTGCCGTCCGCATGCGTCCCGCACACCCATTTCGGCACACCCCTCACACGTTTCGTGGCCCCATAGGGAGCTCCACCGAAGGCCCCAGTGCTGCCGTCAGCATGCGTCCCGCTCACCCATTTCGGCACACCCCTCACACGTTTCGTGGCCACAGGAGCCCGCGAAGGTCCAGTGGCGCAGCTCCGCTTTCCATGCGTCCCCGCCACTCTTCGGACCACCCCTCACAACGTTTCGTGGCCCCAAGGGAGCGTCACCGAGGCCCCAGCGCCGACCGCCCGCTATGCGTTCCCGCATACCATTTCGGCACACCCCTCACACGTTTCGTGGCCCCACGGGAGCAACCGAAGGCCAAAGTGCTTGCCGCCCGCATGCGTCACTAAGCCCAAGTCGGCACACACCTCACACGCTTCGTGGCCCCATAGGGAGCCCCACCGAAGGCCCCAGTGCCGCCGCCCGCATGCGCCACCCACACCCAGGTCGGAAAAAAAACCGCAAAACGAAAGGAACAAAAACAGCCCTGTCGTTCCCAAGAATCACTGAAAGCCTCCCCTCCTGCTGCTGCCGCTCCACCTCCCCGGACATCCGATGTCATGATTTTGTTTCAATACGCGGCCCCCGGAAGCCCCGCGCACCATGCGAGAAGGCGACGGGGCGGGGGAACGGCGCTCCGGGGACAGCGAGACCTCCGGGGCGCGAGCAGTCCGCAGCCAGACCTCGGTCCTGTGGACTCTCGCCGCCCTGGGCCGTCGGCTGCCGGGCGCACCGCTCCCTCGGCCGACGTCGCCCAGGCGTGATCCTGGACTGCGGCCGCCACGAGGTCG